CTGCACAATGCGTGAATGAGCTGGCAGCACTCTCCGCTGATCCCCCCCATACCTTATTTACTGAGTGGGGAGTGACACTTCACATTCACCCAGCATTTCTGCCAAAGGTTAATTCGCCCTTCCATATAAACGAACCTATAAGTTTACCTGCCTTTTACCCAAAACTGCATTCCACCATGGAGGAGATGCACCTACATATACTGGACGTGAAGAGAGCGCTTGCCTTTTATCTAGAGAGGATGCACCCTTTTCGAAAATCGCAGCATCTCTTATTGTCTGTAGCAGACCATTCTAAGGGCCAGCAACTTTCCTCACAACGTATTTCAACTCTCATCGTTGCCTGAATCATTCGCTGTTACTCTTTGTGTAACAGATTGTTACCTTACAGACCGAAGGTACGTTCTGCTAGAAGCATTGCTACTTCCACAGCCTTCCTCAATATACCATTACGTGATATATGCCGTGTTGCTACCTGGTCTTCTACCTTGACATTTGCCAGACATTATGCCCTTGCAAGCACGCTATTGACCGACGCTACAGTGGCTCAGGCAGTCCTCTCTACGGTACAGAGACCTTGATTCCGAAGCATCATACTACTGCCAAACCACTGCTTCATACTCACCTTTAGTGGAGCACCCATGGGCACACTACTCGACGAAGAAGAAAGAGTTACTCACCTGTGCAGTAACGTCTGTTCTTTGAGATGTGTGTCCCCGTGGGTGCTCCAGGACCCACCCTCTTCCCTGCTTTGGAACTACTGTCTTTGTGTTTTTCAGATAGTTCTGACTAGGAGGAACTGGTAGGCCGGATCGCGCGTCACAGAAAGGGCGCGAGACGGCGTCTGCGCATGCACGGTCTGGCGGGGGGCTACTGCTAATGAAAACTCTCTGGACTGCGGTGCCGGGACAAGCCGGACACCTTTAGTGGTGCACTCACGGGGACACACATTTAGAAGAACAGACGTTACTGCACAGGTGAGTAACTCTTTCTTATTCTTTTAATTGCAGGGAGAGGAGTGTGATTAATTTATCGACCTTTCAACATAAAGTCTTAAATAAAATGAAAATGTTTCAAAATACAAATACAATTAGGATTTTCTAAGAGAAAATACAAATATAAACATAGACTAATTTTCATCTGAAGAGAAACTTATTTCTCACCTTTACGTAGAGTCTCTACAAGTACTCCATTTCAGGTGCATGAGCCCCACGCACTTTTGATCAGAGACTCATTACCAGTATCCATTCAGCCTGTACACGTGCCCTAGAAATCCTCATGCTCCAAACTGAGACTATGGGATGCACAGGCAAACTGGACAAACAGTTCTTTCTCAACTTTCTCTGCTGTGACTGTAGCGAGAAAATGTCAGCTACTTCCCCTTAGGCAATTTCACTTATCTTAGTTTGTTTTAGATTAGAGTAATCTGGTTCTAGTTAGTTAACTATTTCTTATTTGAAGGCTTGTTATTTCCTTCTTCATAGGAACCTTTCCTCCTAGAGAAGGACATGCCCAGTGCACTGTGTTTAAAATGCTGACTCACATGACATAAGGCTATCCCATTCAGCAATGGATTCTAAGTATGTTCATAGTGTAGGAGAATCCTTTGTCATGCAGAAATGTAACTTCTGTTTAGCCCTGAAATCCCAGGCAAGAAAGAAACAGGAAACCAAGCTGTGACTATTTATGATAGAGCATTCCCTTCAACCTGGTATGGAGTACAGGTCAGTAGAATCCCTTGTACATCAGTCTCTGCAGGTATCTAGTGCCCTGCTGACCACTTCCCAGCACTCCCCTAGAAGGGGGGAAGGCTTCAGAGACTTCCTCTAAATGTTGCAAGAAGAGGAGTCTAACGTACCTTTTAAAGAATCCACATTGAAAGACCATGCTCTCCAAGCAAATCAATGGTCTCAAAAGCCTCCGCCTCTAGGCACAGTACCACAGAGGCTAGGGGCCCTCTGACACTGGTGGGTTGGAGAGACCATGTAGGCCTAACAGCAAATGTGGTTCAAAGAAGGTATAAGTGCCATCTGGAAGAGATTCTTAAAAGAGGTGAGAAGAGATCCCGTTCACTCTTTACCAAAGCAATAAAAAATTAGGAGTCCTATTTTGTTATGGAATTGCTGTATATGGGCTTGCATACCGGTTTGGCAGTGTATTTCCCTGGAAGGCAAAATATCACAGCTGACGCTCTTAGCAGTTCTTTTCCTCAAGACTAGGATTGGGAGGTAGACTCTGGTACTTATTAATATTTTAGACTCGGGGGCTAAGTTGGACCTATTCTCCATGGCATCAAACAAAATATGCCTCCTGATTTAAATCCCAAAGGGACAGTTTAGGCTGTGATTCATTGGTGGAGTACCTTCTTCCCATGGACAGGAAGGTATTTTATTTGTTTCCCCCACTACCTCTGATTCTCATATGGTGAAGATGATCATACAAGACAAAGCCAGAATTATCCTAGGGAATGTCTACACTGCAATGTTGTATGTACCTATATAGCAAGCCGTTATTTCAAAATAATTTTTGAGATGGAGAACTCCTGTAACTCTCATTTCACAAGGAGTAAGGAAAGTCAAAGGAAGAGTGTAGACAGTGCCAAAAGCCAAATTAAGCTATTTCGACTTCAGCTATGCAATTGATGTAGTTGAAATTACATACCTTAATTCAACTTTTGCCCTGCAATGTAGACATGGCCCTAGTGGCCTGACATGGTCAAGGCATATATGATTTCCTTACCTGCTTCAGCTAGCTCAGTCCAGATATAAATCCTCCAATCATTCCTCAACTTCTCTTACAGGGCATTGGTCAACTGCTATATCCCAGTCTGAGAACTTTACACCTCAACATTTGATTCTTCAGAGGTTCATTGGGTTAGAGTCAGTCTGTTCTGCAGAGGTACAACAGATATTGCTAAAGAATAGAAAAGAAACTACCAGAATTACTTACCTTCAAAAGTGGAAAATACTTTGTGAACGGTGTAACCTCCAGAATCTGCCCCTCTTTTACTGGTTCTGGACTACCTGTTGCATTTAAAGAAAACATAGTTGACAAGCTTTCTCAAGGTTCACTCAGCTGCATTAGCAGCTTTTCATTCCACAATTAAGATGTTCTCTCTGTTTGCTCATCCTGCAATTATAAGGTTCCTGGAAGGCTTGAAAAACAATTTTCCACAGGTGAAAGCCCCTATGTTGGTTTTGGAGATCAATCTGGTTCTTAAAAATCACATGAAACTCTTTCTCATGAAACCAATGGCAACCTGCTCCTTATATAATTTATCTACGAAGAATGCCTTTTTAGTGGCTGTTTCATCAGCCCAAAGAGTGAACAAAATTGGAGTCTTAGCAGCAGACTCTCATTTCACAATTCTACAAGGACAAGGTTTCTTATGCCACAGCCCAGATTCCTTCCTAAAGTATCATCTGAATTTCATTTGAATCAGATTATTCATCTACCATTTTTCTTTCAAACGTCATCTAAATTCCATTTTGTAGCCTGCTTTCAGCATCTGGATGTCCGAAGAATGCTAGTTGTCTACCTAGACAGACTAGTACAGTTTGGTAATTTCCTATAAATGTGAGTGGGGGCAGGAAAAAAATGAATCTCTTGGCAGCACTCCTAACTAGCACATCTTTGTGTAACTTGCAAGTAATCTGCAAGGTTCTTCTCTCCCAAGGTTCCAAAGGAAAAACTGCAAACAAATGGCTAGTGAAGTTTTTTAAGTTCCTGGTGAGTGAGGGAGTGATCTGGGGGCAGCACATGTGCAAATCTATAGTTTCGGAGTTTTAAAATGAAGATCCAGGAAACTTCGAGAGAGAACAGCAAATGATTTTTAAAACAGGCTTTTATTGTCAGTGAGCCACTCTGGATGAGTTAATAGGTTTTTTCCATCTCTTACTTCTAGGGGCTAGATTCTGACATCAGGCAGAGCCCTACCTAGCCAGGGATCAAACACAAGTTAAACTGGGATGTTCTGGCAGCAATAACACCTGCTTGTCCAGGCTCAGCTGTTCTGGTTAGCAAGTAGAGGAGTGTAAAGTTACATCTCTGTGCGCTCCCTGTTCACATGCTCTGGGAAAGAAGGGACAGGGCACTCGGCACCTACTTCCTCCTAAATACCCAGAACAAACATACAAGCAGTCTAAACAGGGATGAGAGAACTCTTACATAGGCATGTGATCCAAGTCACAGTCTACTCGCAGATGTTATTCTCCATTTCTAACAACTTCAGTGAGAGTTGAAAACGTTTAGGAGAGGCTTCCTGTACCACACAGGATCAAGCCCTAAGAAAAAAGCAATGAGTAATAAGCAACATGAGTTTATAAAAGACATTTGTGCTAAACAAACACTAGGTCTATATCTATACTACACAGCTTTTAGCAACATGGCAGTGCCAACATAGTCATGTCACTAACAGCTTGGCAGTGTAGCTGCTGTTGTTTGCACTTTTACCTACAAAATACTTCTATCCCCACCTAACCCCATGAACTGCATTGTTTATATTAGCCAACAAAGTGTTTGCACTAGCACTTACCGCAGCAAAACTTTTCTTGTTTGCACCTCTGAACGACAAAAGTTTTGTCAATTGGCAGTGTAGACATAGCATAGCAGTGAAGTGACTGCAGTGAATTCAGATAATTCAGTAGATATAATTGTCTAGATAGACTTTAATATAGTCCCATATCAGAAACTAGTAGATAATTTGAAATGTGCTGTCTGGCTAAAACTAATACTATAGAATGGACAAAATACTGACTGGCAGAGCATAAACTAGGGTATTTACTAGAAGAACAATGTTATGCTGGGAGGTGTTAATTGTTGCCATCTAGCAGTCCTTGGATCTAAAGTTGATCACAGACCTGGTCAAAGCCAATTGGTGGGTTAAGCACCCTTCTTTCAGATTAAATGGAAGAAGCAATTCAGCTGTATAGTGAGATAGCTGAAAACAATAAATACTTCTGTGTAGGCAGTTTTCGAGACATGGCACAATTCTTGAGGAGATGCTAAACCATGTGAGTGAGGGTGTTCCGGGAAGGGGGGGGGGGAGAGAAAAAAACCTCCTCATGGCAAAAAAATTGACTGGATGGGCACACTTGGAAACTGTGAACAATTAAACAGACTGTTTGCTACTATGGTGTTTAAGGAAACAGCACTTGTTAATTTGTAAATAAACAAGACTGATTTATTATTATCCAGCCTTTTCCTAATGGAAATAATCCTGCAAGCCCCAAATATTGTCTAATGGCATGGACAAGAGAGACAATAGCATCAAATTATGAGAAAAATAACTGATTACTAGCTTTAGTAGTATTGTAGTAAAGCTCTGTAGAATATTATGAAAAACAACAGTCAGAAAGATACTATTTTACCTATTCTATCAATGTCAGCGTTAGCTCCACTCTAAGAACCTCTGCGGCCTCTATACACAGTGCTATCTGTTTCAGATTTTTGGTGGGACCATGGTTCTTGTTAGTGTCCTGTCATAGACCAGGGTAGATTACCATATTTTTGCACATTATCTGGAGAATAAAATACATTTTATGTTGACCAGATTTGATATCAAACTAAACAGAATTCCCAGAAAAGGGGAGGATAGACTGAAATCACAAAATGATGAGATTGAAAGTGTGATGGATGCCACTGCGCTGTTGCATGAATACAGGATTTTAGTACTTGTTGGGGTGGAAGTGGTTGCTCTTCCTTCCAATCTAATTTTCTCCTTGTCTGCTAAATTCTAAGAAGGAATTCCAGCCCCTGCTGAGGTTGCTTTTATTATGGCAATGCCAGGGAGAGGCAGTACTTGTTGGTGCAGAAAATAGATACTGTTTCAAGAGGCAACAATTTGAGAAGAGAAAGCAAAAATAAACCTGGTTCATCTGCAGGCTTAGGATTCAATATTTCTCAGACCAGCGGGGCTGGAAATGTCATTTGTATGTTGGAAAATCAGAATTCTCAAGTTTCAGACGGGTATATAGGGCACAACATTTATCTCTAGCAGTCCCCCAGCCATCATCTATGGAAATCACGCAATAATTGAAAATGGGGGAGATGCGGGACATAAGCTAGTAATTCGAGTATCAATGTATTTGTATGGCAGTGGTTCTCAAGCTATTGTCCATAGATCACCGATGTCTGTGGCACCCTTCCTGCTGGTATTCATAATAAAATACTTTGAGAATTAAGCAGTGAGAGTTTAGAAAATGGCCCATGAGAAGCTCTTGTCTCTTACAAAGTAGTTGACAGAGTTTCAGAACTACTGTTCCATCCCATTGGGAAGCTGGGATTCCCACCTTTGCGCTGGTGTCTACCGTTCATCATTTTGAGCCTCAGGCCTGTAACGTGGCCTGCAGACTAATGGGCCTTTTTAAGGCTTCTATTTTTCTGGAATAGCAACTGCCTTTTCTGCAGTGCCAGGAGTCTCCCCTGCTGCTGACATAAAAATTTACCTCAGCAGGAGGTGTGTGAGGCTTTGCTCAAGAAACAGAAAGAAAAGGAGAAAATGGCTTAACCTTTATAAGGCAAGGATTGGTTTAAACACCATGTTAAAGCTATTCACTGCCCTTTACTGTAAAGAAATGTAAAACAATACTCTGGGGGAAAGAGGAAATAATAAGCACAGCACAGGGCCAAACACAAAAAAATGCTGGCTAGAGAACCTGTAATGCAGAAACAAATAGGAAATGACAGCAGATATCAGAGAGAACATGAGCTTACCATGTGATACAGTGGGGGGAGCAAATAGTGGTCTGATATGTGCTGTGCTTTATATATATAGTGGAATTGCCTACAGGCCAAGGGAGATGATAATTCCTTTCTATGTCATCTCTATTCAGCCACACTTAGAACACAGTGCATCATTTGCAACACTTCCATTTTAAATAGAGCATCACTTTCAGAAAGAATTCAAAGGATGACTACAACAATGAAAGGGTTAAAATATGTTCCATATGACAGATGTACTCAGGGCCAAGTTCTGATCTTAACTGCAATGGCCTGGCTTTATATAGACTAAATGGAAATTGATAGCTGTTCGAAAAGCTAAAAGACAGGGTTGGCACCATAAAAAATAACAGCTTTCAGCTTAACTTTGCTAAGGAGATAGTATAGTATTCAGAACTAATACTGTTAAACTTAAGAACTTGTGACTTGTATTGCACACGGTCTCAAATGAAAGGAAAATGCCAAATCATGAAATATGGTGCTGTCAGAGTGTCAACCCTATCTCCTGTATCTTATGAATGAAAGACCTGTGGTGCTGCACAGTAACATCAGGCTGCTGATGGAGTAGGATACTGTTACTGACTGTACACCAAGTCCAGGATTTCTCTCAGAGCTGCAGGAAGAAGTGCTTTAAAATGATTTGCTTGTTGTAGCTCAGAAGTTGTAAAAAAGATGACTAGAACTTAATATCTGGCTTGGGCAAAGGGTGTACAGGTGAGGACATGGTATTATACCATGAAAATAAAAGAAACTGTAGGCTAAACGTGACAAATTTGGCAGCAGAAGCATGTGTCTATGTAACCAATTAAGAGATTACCTCCATGATATTTCTAAGTTCAGAAAAATGCTGTGTGTGAGGGTAAGCGAGGATGATCTGAACATCTTGTCTGTTCTGCACCTGTCTTGTCAATGATTCTGTGAAATGCTGCCTCTACAGAGGATTTCAAAAGTTTACTCATTTCTTCTATACATAACTCTAGAACTTTCCCCCTCTTCTTAGAACTGGAAGAATAACTAATATTATGAACATTTCCTTTTTTGCCAAGAACTAGCAGTTGCTGCATACTAATGTTTGTTCTATGCTGTGGTTAATGCACTCATTTAACCAACAGACTTTTGGATTACTATATTATCAACCCTAATTAATCCTTTGTCATGACATGCAAAAGAAATTCATACATATTGGTTTGGTTTTTAAATGTCTTTCAACAGCATATATTACCATCTTGCCTGGTTGTTTTTGTAGCTCTTTACCTTTGGTTGGAGAGAAGACATCCGCCCCGGGGAACCTCTTCACACCAGGAAATTCTGCTTCGATGCTGTTTCACACAGTAGCCCTGTCACACTCTATGACTGTCATGGCATGAAGGGTAACCAGCACTGGAGCTATAGGAAGGTTGGAGTCACCTTGGGTCATTTTCAGATATTCAAACTATCTTGAGTCTGTATTGAATTTAGAGAACAATGTGTTTGTCCAGTCAAAAGTCATTGGTTTTAAAAACCACCATGGTTTATTCCAATGTAGCTGACATGAGAATCTCTGTAGTGCATGTTTCTTTTAATACATAGTAGGCATTTATGCACATTGGGTTCTTTTGCAGCTACTTAGGTAACAGTTAAATTTGATCCAACACAAAGTGAGCCCCTTAGTTTTTGAAAGATGTTTTACCATTTTGACATTTGAAGACGTGTATCATTTTCACAAAGGCGCCACAAGGAATATTTTTATTCTATGTGACAACAGCAAGAAATGATGCTCATGAGTTAAATATTAACATTTTACTATACAGAGTATATTTGGCAAATGAATCAGCAAAAAAATCATGAAAAGCATTGTTGTAAGCCCACAAACAAAGAGGGAGTTTACAAATCAAGGATAAGCAGTTTAGTTGTCCCTCTGATCTGCTCTTTCAAACCCTTTTTATAAATCACTAAAAATATGTGGTCCTGCTGGAAACTGTTCAGGGCAGACAGTGCCACAGTAATGCTAACAGGATTTCAAATAAGATTAACTAATTATTGACTTGTATTAACCCTTTCATTGTTGCAATCTGTGCAGTTTTCTTTGAAACAGAAGGATCTCTTCCCACCCAGGGATCACCTCCACATAATCACCATTCCCCAGGTCCCCACATTTACTTGAGATCAACATAAGGGCCAGGATACAGATTTTGCTGCACACATTTCCACTGCACTTTCTCGTTTGGGATGATGTATTCTAGTAACTGAACTATAACGGTTAGGAATAGTTTACTTACTGACATTTTCCTCTGGTGTCTAGGTATTATTGACCGTTGCCATTTAATCCGGTATTTACATTGCAAGCACAGATGTGCCAAAGGGTTTTTTCAGAAATGTGACACTGAGGTAGTATCTGTAATCCAGATACAATTTCTGAGACAGTTCTTCAACTGGTGTAAATATGAATAGCACCACTGGCATCAGTGGAGATATGTCAATATACACCATCCGAATATCTCACTCTGAACACTCTATAATAGTACCCCTATAATAACATATTCACTTCCAATTTAACATTCTGTCTATCTGAGCAGCTAGAAAGAAGCTGTAGAAACTTTAACACTTTATTGGTGCTTAGAGTACCAGTTACTTGTGTCAAAATGCAGCTCTAGAGCTGTCTTCTGTACCTGGTTCATCACTTCTGATGTAGACAGAATCCAGGAGATAACCAATAAAATGGTGGCACTTTAAAAAATGTTTCAGTATATGTCCCTTTAAGTCTCCTAAATTCTGAGGACAAGTCAAATGTTTACATCAGAATTGGAAACTCCTTTAAAATGGTTTTTGGAATGAAAGTCTGACACAATCTTAGACTGCAGCCAGGTTTGTACTGTGGTTACTTTCTTAAGACTCATAATTATGCAAATGCTGAGCTTGATTGTGTATTAAATAGTTTTCACTATTTAATTCACGTATAGACCAGATCTACACAAGAAATTTTTCCCGCTATAAGTACACCAGCAAAACTCCTCCTAATGTAGATGTTAAGTTTTACCAGCAAAAGCACTTCTATACTGGTATTACTGTATGTGCACTAGGGCTTTTGCTGGCATGGAAGTGACTTACTTCCCCTCCCCCCTCAGAAAGAAAGCACATCTCTAATCAAGGTTACTGTGCTGGCAAATGTTCCTAACTTAAGCCTGACTGTACTCTTTTTACAAGTACATCCAGATGCAGTTGCATGAGACTACAGTTAAGGCAATTCCCAGCTCTCCAGGCATGCACCCTCTCTGAAATGTAAACGCAAAAGTGTATTATTTTGCACTGCACAGAGAACTATACAATGTACGCTCACGGAGTTTGCCTTCTCCCTCAATGTGAAGGGGAATATGCAACAGCCTTTGCCCTGGAGTTATAATTTCCACACACTTCAGTCCAAACTTACTGGTTTAGATTAAACATAAAAGAAATGTATTAACAACAAAAAAATAGATTTGAAGGGTACGTCTACAGCGCAATGTTATTTCGAAATAACTAACATTTCAAAATAACAAAATGTGTGTCTCCACAGCATGCCATTATTTCGAAGTAGTGTTGAGATGAAGGACATTTTACTCCAACTCCTGTAACCCTCATTTTTTGAGGAGTAAGGGAAGTTGAGGGAAGAGTGTTCTTCCTTCAACTTCCTGCTATGTAGACAGGGCAAAAAGCTGAATTAAGCTATTTTGACTTGAGCTATACAATTGTTGTAGCTGATGATGCATTTCGTAATTTAACTTTTGCACTCCTGTGATTATAATGCATAGCAAACAGATCACATCAGATTACTTAGCAAATAAACAAAAACATACCTTACTCTTAATAAACTAGGTAAATTGGATATGAATAGCAGATTCTTGCCTTAATTGATGTTACAAGCAGGTTTGTAGATGCTTAAGGCACAAGCTGCATTAGCTTGAGTTTTTCAGATCTTAAAATCATATAATATTAGCACTAAAGGGACCATCAAGTACAGGCCCCTACCCTCACGACAGGACCAAGTACTGTCTAGATCAGGGGTGGGCAAGAGGGCCTCTGCGGGCTGGATCTGGCCTGCAGAGCTGGTGGACCCAGCCCAAAGAGGCCCTGCTGCTCCCAGGCCAATCAGGGCCTGGGGGCAGGGGAGTGCGGGAAGCCTTCTCTGCTCTGCCCCCACCCTAATTGGCCGGGGGCAGGGAAACATGCAAAGCCTCCTCCCACCCTGCCGGGAGCACATGGTGCCTAGAAGCACCAGGTGCTGCTTGCAGTGGGGGCAGGGAGAGCAGGGGAGGCTTTGCACACTCCCCAGCCCCTCATTGGCCTAGGCGCAGGGGAGCATGGGAAGTCTCCTCCCATGCCAGGGGCATGGGCACCTAGGGAGAATGTGGGGTGGGGGCAAAGTCACTTCCTCATCCCCAGATCAATCATTGTCTGGGGGGGAACCCCAAACAATCTTGGCTCTGCCCCTTCCTGTGCAGCCCAGGGCCAGAAATTTGCAGAGTACCCCCCAGCAAAGAATTATTGCCTATCCCTGATAGATGTCTAACCAACCTGCTCTTAAATATCTCCAGAGATGGCGATTCCACAACCTCCTTAGGCAATTCATTGCAGTGTTTAAGCACCCTAACAGTTTGGAAGATTTTCCTAATTTCCAACCTACACCTTCCTCGCTGCAGTTTAAGCCCATTGCTTTTCTCCTATCATCAGAGGCCAAGGAGAACAATTTTCTCCTTCCTCCTTATGAGACCCTTTTAGACACTTGAAAACCACTACCATGTCCCTTCTCAGTTTTCTCTTTTCTAAACTAAACAAACCCAATTCTTTCAGTCTTTCCTCATAGCTCTTGTTCTCTAAACCTTTAATTATTCTTGTTGCTCTTCTCTGGACCTACAGTTTCTTGAAACGTGGTGCCCTGAACTGGACACACTACTCCAATTGAGGACTAGTCAGCATAGAGTAGAGCAAAAGAATAACTTCTTATGTCATGCTCACAACTCTCCTTTTACTGCATACCAGAATCATGATTACTTTTTTTGCAACTGTGTCACACTGACTCATATTTAACTTGTGGTCCACTATGACCCCTAAATCCCTTTCAGCAGTACTCCTTCCTAGACAATCACTTCCCATTCTTTATGTGTGAAACTGATTGGTTGTTCCTAAGTGCAGTACTTTGAATTTCTCTTTATTAAACTTCATCCTATTTATCTCTGACCATTTCTCTAGTTTGTCCAGATCATTTTCAATTTTGACTCCATCCTCCAAAGCACTTGCAACTCCTCCCAGCTTGGTATCATATGCAAACTTAATAAGCGTACTCTCTATGCCATCATCTACATGGTTGATGAAGACATTGAACAGAACAGATATTGAACAGAACCCGTCCCAACACAGACCTTGTGGAACCTCGCTTGCTATGCCCTTCCAGCATGATTGTGAATCATTAATAACTACTCTCTGAGAATGGTTATTCAGCCAGTTATGCATCCACCTTATAGTAGCTCTATTTAGGTTGTATTTCCCTGGTTTATTGATAAGAAAGACATGCGAGATTGTGTCAAATGCACTATATTTGCCCTATTCCAGTCTTCTGGAATCTCTCCAGACTTTCATGATTTTTCAAAGATGTTAGCTAAAGGCTCAGATACCTCTTCTATCTGCTCCTTGAGTATTCTAGGATACATTTCATTAGGCCTTGGTGACTTGAAGACATCTAACTTTTCTAAGTAATTTTTAACTTTGTGTGTTTTTTAATTTTGATTTCTAAACCCTTACCCTATTTCCACTAGCATTCACTATGTTAGGCATCCTATCACCATCAAACTTCCTGGTGAAAATCGAAACAAAGAAGTCATTAAGCACCTCTGCCATTTCCAGATTTCCTGTTATTGTTTCTCCCTCTCCACTGAGCAATGAGCCTACTTTGTCCTTGGTCTTTCTTTTGCTTCTAATATATTTGTAGAATGTCTTCTTGTTATGTCTCTAGCTAGATTTAACTTGTTTTGTGCCTTTGCCTTTCTAATCTTGCCCTTGCATACCTATGGTGTTTGCTTATATTAATCCTTTGTAATATGACCTAGTTTCCACTTTTTATGAGACTCCTTTTTGATTTTTAGATCATGCAAGATCTCCTGGTTGATCCACAGTAGTCTCCTGCCATACTTTATATCTTTCCTACACAGTGGAATAGTTGGCTTTTGGGCCTATAATAATGTCCCTTTAAAAAACTGCCAACTGTCTTCATTTTTTTTTCTTGTTAGACAAGGTCCCATAGGAAGCAAGACTATCAGCTCTCTGAATTCATTAAAATCTGCCTTCCTGAAATCCATTGTCTCTGTTTTGCTGTTCTTCCTTCTACCATTCCTTAGAATCATGAACTCTATGATTTCATGATCACTTTCACCCAACCTGCTTTTCACTTTCAAATTTTCAACCAGTTCCTCCCTATTTGTTAAAATCAAATC